CGCGTATCGAACGGACGAATAAAAAGCATTAATTCGATCGACGCTTCGATACCCTCGTCTCATTTCCCCGAGTGCCACTCGAATTCGAGATGTACTTACTCTGTTCTTATAAACGTTTGTATAATTGCGATGCGCGGCGTTTCCCGCGATAAGAAAGCTCGCGCTGTCGGGAAACGGTGATTGCCGCAATTTAGCAGTTCTGCGATTCGTAACTGCCGCAATCCGACTAATAATCAAATTAGCATCCTGTCCGCATTATACCGAACGCGAACGCGTTCCAGTTTGATGCCCACGGATTACATCTCCGGCGCCCGAGTCTATATCGAGAAAGCCCGTAATGACGACTATTAAAAAATTGGGATCCGTAGACGGGAGCGTGGCAACCGGCCGGCGGAAATAGAGGGAAGATGCGCCTATTATCCTTTTATCGGTCCGAGCCAGAAGGTAATTAAGGATGCACTTATTCCGCCCCTAAACGGAAGCCCTTTCCCCCTTCAGAAGGAGTGCAAACAACAACCGAGGCTATTATCGCCTTTGACTTACCTGCGAAGAGGCTGTGACATATATGTATATATATGCGCATGCCATGCAATCCATGATTATAATACGATCGAATTTTACATTTTTCTGGCCATCAATTCTCTAAAAATTTTAACTAATGTACATAACATATCTTCTGATGTGATCCCAATATCTAACAATAAGTCTAACTCTTACACGAAAATTTAATACTGTAAGTGATTATTTGGCTAGTGATTAATTACTTATTTTGAGTATTAAAAGCATTTAAAACAGTGCTTTTAATATTCAAAATAAGTAATTAATCACTAGCCAAATAATCACTTACTGTATTAAATTTCTGTAAGCGAAAGATTAAGAAGCCTATCTTAAAGCTTAAGTAGCTAAAAAACACAATTTTGTCGTTAATTTTCATATATTTATATCAATTTGTCCCAGTAATTCTTTTTTTCGCTTATATTTTTTATTGTTGAGAAGAATATACATATTTTCGATTTACTTCACACGCCGGTGATTTGATATTGAATCTATGTCAAAGAATATACCTCGTTTTTCGTAGAAAATAATCTTCTTTATCCTTGAAAGCGCCAGTTTGTGATCTAGGTACTCCGTACGCCAACCGAGCCGGCTGCCGAAGAAGATTCATCGTTTCATTGTTCTTTGGCGATTGTCGGTTCTTAAAGACGAGCGGCCCGTCCCCGATTTCACATTATGCAAGAAAGTTAGTGCCAGCGCACACGTATGATGTCTCACTTCCTGCCGCGCGAGCAGCTGCCGTGAAATCACGGATCACAGCCGCGGTGTGAAATCGCGACTGTCCGCTCCAGCCAGCTCTCATTTCAGCCGTCCGCGTCCCTTCGACTCGCCCTACGCATTTCTACATTACGTCTATATATTTGGACCTTCGCGCCGCGACAAAAATTTTTCTTCGTCGAGAGTCTATGCAAGTTCGAGAACTAATATGTATTTATTGAAAAAGACAGTGAGATTAGTCGAAAAATCGAATACATCTAGCATTTGTCACGGACCGATATAAAGCAAATAATTAATAAATACTTTATTATTCGCCTCTTCCTCTCTATTATTGCGACATAAACCGCGATAGCGTGAAATACTTTAAATTAACAGTGTGAAAGGTGCGATGGGCGGTTCAGGCGGTTGTCTCGAAGGCTTTCCTTGCCGTTACTAACGCGCGGCAAATCTTAGCGCTCGCTTATCGTGTCGTACAACACACGCGCGGTACGCACACCGTGAAACGACCGGACATCAGTTAGTAGGGGCGTCGTATTATCGGACAAGGATCGATGTATCCGCGCCGGTATGCAAGCACTGCAATGCCGCGGCGCATCTGCGCCCAGCCGAAAAGGCGAGCGTGTGCACTCAACCACCGCAGGTTTCACCGTAACACCGGGTTAAAAGGAGGGTGCGTATCGGCGAGATAGCGATCACCTCGGCGGTAGCCGAGGGACCGACCGGCTGGCCGAGATAAGGATCAGATCAAACGAGGGCAACCCCTTTCGCTCGCGCGCCCGTCCGCCTTCCTATAGCCACCTTGCGCCGGATTCGGCTGATTCTCGGTGTTTATGAGAGTGTATTCGTGCGTGCGTGCGTGTGTCCCGCGTTTCTTCACGTCTCACCCTCCAATTCGCCTTACGGCACACAAGAATATCGCCATCTGTACCTCATTAGCCTAAGCGGTACAAACAGCCTGTGGTCTCTCACCTTCGCACGGCTGCGCTAAGCCGCCCGGGGCGTCTCCGAGTCGATTCGCTTCCTCGACTTGAGCCGAATTGACTCGACTCGACTCGCACCCGCCGCCACCCGACCCGCCATTATACGGACTATTACGTTGCCTCTAGTAGAAAGCCGCCAGGCATCCGGAAGCACGCCGGAGACTTGCGATTTTTGACGTCGCAACCGCGCGTACTGATGAGGAGAAATCTCCCTGTGTAGAATGTTATCGGTCTTTCAAGCACGAGATTACTTGAGATGAATTCCCAGTAGCCTTGTTATCTCGATGATGGATCGTAGTTAAATAAGCTGAAGACCGCTTTGCGAGAAATGCGAATAGCTGGAGGAAAAAAATCCTGTAGCGAAGCATTCGCGCGCGTTAAACTTGCAAGTAGTTAGCTAGCTCAAAAAATCTGCAGCACGCGAATTATTTTTATTTTTATCCAACACAGAATAGAAACCGTAAAAGTATAGGCGTTGAATTTTTTTTTGGACTTCTTTTCGCGATTACGAATCTATCAGCCGAGTTTTTCTCACCGTAGTTACAGTTTCTTACAATTATTCCCTTTTATTTGTCACCTTTATTTTACCTAACAACCCGTAAACATGAATTTCACCTGACAGTCGTAACGGCGCGCGATGAACATCGGAGATGAATAATTTTTAGCGATCATCCTGAAAAAATGCGAGACACGGACAGGCGATCTGAGACATGTTTTAGGAATCGCCTTTTAACGCGGCTGCCGTGCGCGGTCGCCACCCACGCCGACACGAATATGGATAGGCACAGGTAATACACCGTGTACGGAGGCATGACAATGGCCGTGTCGCACAATGAGAAGAAGACGAAGGGAAGCAGCGCATTGAAAGGCAAATGAGGCCCGGCGAAGCCTCACCGGGGCCAGTGCTCTTCTTCTTCTTCTTCTCCTTTCCCGCTCTCTCGGTACGTCATCTCTTTTCTATTGCGCACCCACATCCGCTGCTGCCTTTTCAAGTAGCACCCCAAAACACACCTTACGCAAATTAATGTCGCATGTTAACCAGGCCCGCTCGAATGACCGGCACGACGACGGAGCGCCTGAGGACAGTCGGGCTCGTCATCGTCGTCTTTAATAATGATTCATCGCCATACGGCGCGACTAATTGTTTACCGGTCGTTCACAATGCCAGGCCAGCCTGCCAACGAACACTTCTGGCGACGTCGATACGCGCCTACCATACATATGCATTTGTGTACCTTTCTTTCGGCCCGGCCGTTTTCCACCTCTCATTTGTAATTTCGCCCGCTCGAACGTCGCGCCTTCCGTCTTCCCGTTGCCGTTGCTCGCTCGATCGCCGTTGCGTTATACTCTAGCCGCTCGAGCTGGTAGTCGAATATTTTGTTAATTATGGTTCCTGACTCACGTCCGGCTCATTTGGTTCCGCAATTCTTTACATAAGCCGAGTTTTATGTAGTTACATTAACTCTTTCTCGAGCCATTCTTTTGTAGTTGTATAATGGTTTCCTGACATCTGGACGTATTCGCGGAAATGTAACTTTGAATTTTTATTTTAATATATGATAAAAAGAAATCTTCATTTGTGTATGTGATAAATAAAAATGAATAAAAAAAAGTAATTTTTCCGCACGTTTACAGGTGAAAGTCGCTATCGTTTTATTGGCATTTATCGCAGGCAATTTTAAATGTACCTGCGATGAATGTCGTCCTACAAGGAATCGTGCCAGATTTCATTTGAATGATGTCCTTAACATACTTTGTACGCGCAGGTGACTTGAGCATGATACGATCCAAATTAATAATGCAACGATTAATAATTCAACCGACCTACAATCGGGTTGATTTATTCACATGGTGTACGTTAAATCTGAACACAAACCTTACGATTTGCGTGCGAGTTTAGATATCATCCTGTTACAAATAATAAATGCAAAGTGTTAATATATTAATGATAACTTGAACATTGAAACAAGCAGTGGGATTGCTCTACATTGTATTTTCGAGACTGGCTAGAAACAACCACCATCTCGTGGTGAACATGATATTCAACTGCATTACAAGGCACACGTATATTTTCTGCTAAATCTTCGCAAATTATGTTAATATGTTTTTATTATTAAAGTCATTGTATTGGGAATATCTCAAAGCTTAAATTTTATATGTAAGAATTACTTATAACGTCTTAATAAATATTTGGAACAATATATCTACAGTAGATACATGAATCTGTTACGAGACCGTCATTATTGACTGTTGATTCGCATTTTACGTGTGTATGAAAAATATATACTTTGTTTTATATAAATATAAAAATTGGAATATTTTTCTAGATTTGTAAACTATTCACGTAAAAGTTTGCGAATTAAAATATGTTTAGAAACTTTTTGCTATTACAAATTCTGCTAAACATTACATACAGTATTTATTTAATATTTGCGGATGTGAAAAACATTGAAATGTCTTAGAAGCCTACAGAGATACGGATCGTGCAAACAATATATAATTTAATCATCATTGGAAAATGTTTGCTTCTTGAAATGCGATTGTAATGGAGAAGCTTGCATGAAGAAAGGAAACAAGGAACCCATACAGCATACATGTCCAAAAGCGGGACATAAGACGTCTAAAAGATGTCTTTTAGACATCTTACGAAAAGATGGCTAAAAGACGTCTAAAAGACGTCTTATTTCTCGATTTTGGACATATGGCGCTGTCTGGGGAAGCTTGGGATAAAAATAAAATAGACATGCATTACGTCTAGATAACTTTTATTAACCAATATAATCGTGTATCGTTACAAATGATGCGGCAACGATGTAACTCGGGTCACAATGAAACTGGTTTTAACGGTATACAATGGAAAATAGGAATCGATGAATGAGCGAATTTATGAATTTACAGACGTATTCGTCGCTACTCGACATTCGAAGAACTGCTTACACCACAACATGTAATTTATACTTTTACTGTATTTTATTTTTATTTTTTATTTCTTTGTGTTCCGTCTGTCATTATCGCCTGTTCCGACGAAACGTTAACTTCTTCCGTTCTGTGCCTTCCATTGTCCTCGCTTCCTTCTTGATGTGTCTCTGGTAAATCCATGAGTGATGCCACTTGTGCGCGCGTGTATGTTGTATGTGTGTGTGTGTGTATGTGTGTGTTTGTGTTGGTGTGTATGTTCTGTTGCTTAAAACTGCGTGTATACGTGTACAAACTGTAATTATACTCGAAGACATCGAAAACTCACTACATTATGTTAAATAATAATGCGTCGCGGATTTGCTTCCGGCACGCGCATGCATATGCAAATTGTCCTCTCTTATCCTTTTTTCGTCTGTTTCTGGCGGATTCGCGACTTGGTGAACTTATAGAAGTATATACGAAGTTGCTGCAAACATGCTATCGTCTCAATAAATATGGAACGTAATTGGAATACACTGTTACGAAAGAAAATCTGATTGCTTACACAATGTCGGGTACCATACGTGCGATTTATTTGAACATATTTATAATGCTGTTATAGTTATATATGATAAATATGCGATTTATATGAAAATGAAAATTTATAAAATGGCGCGAATTTGCAATAAATTTGCAATGCCAATGATTCTGCGAACAAAAATTAAATCAACGCAATCGCGCACAATTCGTAATTAAATCGGGCGAATCTTAATTGCATTCATTTCGTTAGTCCTATCGCAAATCCGCGACTCACTAATTAGGCTTACGGCTACTATCGAGATATTGATGTACATATACAAGAGAATCGTGGTTTTTTTTCTCCTTACAACATGGGTAGAGTATACAAAGACGTTGTTTGCCGAAGAAAAACGTTTCAAGTATTCTTCCGTTCTTCTTCTCCTTTTGTCTATCTTTCTCTCGTTCTCTCTCTCTCTCTCTCTCGCTCTCTTTCTCTCTTTTTTTCTTTTCTCACTCTCTAATCACACATACGTATATTGGAACTACGCACTCGTTCACACTCTTTAAACGTGGAAGGGTCTGGAAACGTTTTAGTTTCATATATATCTTCTTTATAGTTTTTCTCTTTACGGGAAATTGATAAAGGATTATTGGTTCTCTTTCTGCATTTGCGCGTGTCTTTCCTCTTTTCCTTTCAGAATCCCTTCTGTCATTCGTTTCGGCTTTGTTGGTCCGGTGTGGCAGTGCCTTGTTAATTAATTTAATTCTCGCAATGAGATCTTTTACTATGCTGTTGTGTCGTGATTTTGTCCCTTCTATGATGTGATCGCGCAAAGTGTCGACGAAACGAAGAGGTTCACAGATATTTGCAAAAAAATTAAAATTTTCACAGAGTTGTGACGATTTTCACAAACTCTGTTCTCACAATTGACAATTTAGCGTGATGTTAGACCAACATATCAATTTAGTGTTAATTAGCATTGCATATTATCGCCCATACAAGCTGATTCACCTACACTTTTTTTCTAATCAAATCTATAATGACTGAAGTATGAGACATGCATGAGTGTTTTGATTTATAGAAGTTCATACGCATTTTATAATCTTTGTACTGATATATATATATATTTTTTCTTTCTAAGTTAAAATGTATATTATGTACTTTTTGCCACATGTATAATTCTGGAAAAATCAGCTTATATACTTTGAGTAATTAATTAGAATAACAGCTAAAAAATTAAAAATTTGTTTAAGCTTAATCCTCAATCTATTGGCAATCTAATGACGTTCGTTTCACAGACACTCTGCTGAATAATTTGCTGACAAAGAGTGATTATTATTATTTACATTTGCACGCAACACTCCAACTACAGTTGCGCACATGAAAATTAATACAAGAGTCTTTATAATATATATATATATATATATATATATATATATATATATTTATATCTATATATATTTATATTGTGTTTACTTTTTAATAATGTTGGATTATAATTATGTTTAATCGATCCTTAACGGTTGTAACTGCTTCAGTTGTTTGCGGTGCAATAACATTTTTTTTCATTTCGCGCACGAGCGCATTACTTATTATTTATATTATTTCTAATAATTAAAATATTTAGACTCGAAAGCTAAAGACGTCGACTGGTGTACAATTATGATTTCCGTCAGGATTTCGAGTGTGTCTTGTATATTATTGTTTTTCTCATCGCGTGAGAAAGTTCTACTTAATAAAATTTACGCGTTAAGTATAAATTTTATTAAATAAAATTTAATGTTGTGCTTTACTCTTAGGAGAAAGGGAGTATTTTCACAAGGATTGTGGAGGAATTCACAAAGTATAGTCTCTATACGATGAACGTTATCTTTTCTCAACGATCTACATATGATATCAATAGCGAAGTAAATGCGAAAGATCGATATCTCTTCGAGATAGGCTTAAACACTAATCAATAATGATGAGAATAATTACCTCTTATATTTCGTGAGTGGTGTGCGAGCTCCTCTATTCGCCTGTACCGATTATAAATCTCGTTCTTTCTTTTCTACCCCCGAAGTTCTCTTCCTTAACTCTTTCAGGGGCCCGAGAAAGTCAGCGTATTTTGTGCAAGATCTCCGAAAGAGAAGCAGTACTAGAGAGTGAAACTTAGGCACTGTAGTTCACAAATTAAACCACATCGCACCAACATAGAAACGCACAAATGTCGTGGCACCTAAATACATTATACTGTGACTTATACATGAAGTACACAAGCTGCACCGTCGCCCCTCAAAGAATTAAGCCATTCACAATGGACATCTTTGACGTTCAAACATCGTACCGTCTGTGAGAATATTTAATTGAAAGGACAAACACGTACGAGATCGCTTTTCGACGAAAATAAGCCTCTTTGACGTAAGTCATCATTGACTTCCTTCGCGCCGCTCTTACGTACGTTTTAGTCACACAATCTGCATCATAGAACGTAACTTCCGCTTACATTCGCGAAAACTTTTCGAGTATATGCTCCATTCAGTACTCGACGAGTTTTGAAACGAAATACTCTCTGTACACAATCGCTCGTGTTGGCCTCGAACACGGGTCTCCTTCCTCATTGACTTTTTCGTTCAATGTTGTTCTTTAAATGTGTGCCAACTGCTCGCGATGAAGATACGACGAAGGTTTGCGCGATGTCTTCGGCGTGTTCATTCGAAGTGCGCGAATGTTGAAAAAATGTTGATAAACAGTAAAATATTCGAAAAATTTCCAAAACAATTTTGTACTTTGTGGCACGCAACGGGAAACAATGAAAGAGATCTTACGGGTGCAAATGGATCCCTTTTGAAGGGATGGATCTCTCGCTAATTGCGCGCTCTTGAATGCGAGGAAGCACTCGCGTCTTGGGTGAAGTGTTTCGAGAACGAGAGGATTTTTCGCGAGGCCGAAACGTCGCTCTATTTTTGCTTTCGTTAAGCGAACAACGCCGCGAAATTACCCTGTTCTTCGTCGAGCCTCTTTTGAGATTTCGTCAGTTAGACTGCGAAGAATGCACAATCACGACCATTCACGACCATCGATTTTACGATCGCGCAATTATTTCGATAAAGTGTAGAAACGAAGCCGTTCGCTTCGACAGCCAGTTAATTGTTTGATACGATGAATTCTGATTACCGAATTAATTAACGTCTCATAAGATATACGTATATCGGAGAGCGTAAACCAAACACGATAAACTTAGAGGCTAATCTCGTCCGCTAAATATCGATTTATAAAAATATCAAGTATTTAGTTAAACATATACGTTAATGTATGAATAGAAGGAGATTCGCCGCCCAACGCCGACTCAAGTTTTTCACAAAAAGTATATCACAGCGATATATCCGACATATCCGACATAATGAATGAAATAATAGAAATTCCAGGAAATATCGAACAATCTAAATCCCCACGAGTGAACCGAATTGTCTACAATGCTCTTGATAATGCACAATGGGGCGAGGGTACATATACGGTACATATAATATAAAAGTAGAAAATTTGGTGGCAGTATATAGAGATCGTGTAAGGTGAGAAAACGCGGTGAAGGAAAATGCGTATGCGCTAAACATTTTTGTTGTTTTGTGCTTCGTTTACGCCGAAGTTGCGGCGAAAGCCTGTCTGATTAACAAGATTTGTCGATCGTCCAGGTTGTCATTGATCCGTCCTTCTCCCTGTTATCTCTACTGACCAATGTTGAGAACATAATAAAAAGAAAGGAAGAAATATAACGTACGTAAAACAAGGAGACAAAGAAACAGTTTGCGACTCGGCACAATCATGTCTGGCTCCACTTTACGCGATAGCTCCTCTTCGAGGATGTCCAGATCGACCTTGAGCGTATCACTGAAGCGTCTCTTCAGATGTCGATAAAGGGTTTTCTCAACGAGATATATCTTCAACTTCCCAACTTGAATTCTTGGAACTGTCAACAATTATCAACGACTTGAATATCATCCGAAGATTTCTTCGTGCAACGAGCGTATTGGACACGCTGAATATGTTGGATTATTCCGGCTGATCCATCATTTTTCCAATTTTTTCCGTCCGTCGATCTTCTCAATTGATCTTTTCCGCTTTTTCTTTCTTTCCTCCTTTCTTCTCAATCTTCACCTTTTTTTTCGAGACCCGAAGTCGATGTACGTGATCGAGATCGTCGAGCATCCTGACCTGCTTGTGCTCGCTCCTTCGTTATTCCAACCGACGACCACTCCGGACGATTGACTATGACGAGACTCCCCGCTCGTCTACTCCAGACGCGCCTTGTAGCTAGTTTTCCAGATCTCGGCCAGCGTCACGGCGCTGTGGAACCTGTGGAAGATGCACAGCGGCAGGGTGATCCTCTGCACAATGGCCCAAGCGAGGAATCCGTAGAAATCAAGCTGCACCGGATTGGCAATAACCTTCTGGGTTTCGAAAGTGTAGATCACCCACATGGTCACATTGCAGATCAGCAGGAAAGTGACTATCTGCCTGCCGGGCTTGCTGCGATCGTGCTCCGGCAGGTGAACTCGCCTGCGCGACACATCAGCGATGAAGAGCATCTGAAGGACGACTTGGGCGACCGAGAGCAATCCTGTCACCATCACCAGCAGATTCGGCTCGTGCGTGAAGGCTGCCAAGGAACCGGCGATCACGCTGAAGACGGCATAGACGAAGAGACCGAAGGCGGAGACGCGCAGGAGGATGTCATTAAGATCGCTCTGCTCCTCGGCCTTAAACTTGAGGCTCTGCACGCGAATGAAGCCGATGATTATGGCGATGATGGATAGCGCCATTAAAACGCAGTGAGACACGTCAGCGAGATAAATCGCGAGCAATCCGAGCTCCGGATGATGGATCAGCACGAAGAACAGTATCAGGCATATCAGGGAACCAACCAGAAGAAGCAGACCGCAGAAGAGACCTTTGCTCGCTCCAACGCAATCGACTCTGGTGTGACCTAGTAATATCTTTTATGATGACTCGATTCTCAAATAAAGATTATGCATATTTATGAAACTATAAAAAATATTTGACTATATTCGAAATTAAAATAATCACGATATGGGAAAGAAAGAAAGTTACCTGCATGAGCAAGAGCGACAGCTCTTCGAGATAGCATAGCCTCCAGACGACGTTCAAGATCAGCCTCTGCCAAATGGGGCCAACGCGGATGTCGGCCGATATGCTTCCACATGACGTAGATCACTGCCGCCCCGATCAAACTGTACTCTATTATGAATGGAAATAGATACGGCGCCGCGTCCTGCACGATGGTTCCCATGATATTGACGCGTCCGCACGAATTGGACACTGTGCCATCCTCCGTCAGAGCTTCCGCGTAGATACCCAAGTTCGGGCTCCAATACTCGCTGCTGTTCGTCAAGTTACTCACATCAAAGATCTGCGGTACCTAAAAGAGAGAGGAAGAAGACTTTTAATTCTAGCGCGTTTACCGTTTTAACGGCATTTATTCACAGTGACATAATAAGACATGATCCGTACTTGGTTATCCATGTCACTTTGCGGCGCGCTCACTAGCTCCATAATTTGCGACCAAAATGTGGTAGTGGACGGCGTGATAGTCGTGGTGGTGCTGGTGCTCGTTGTAGTCGGGATAGTGGTGATTCTTTCGGTGGTGGTGGTAGTGGTGGTGGTGCTGGTGGTGGATGGGGTGAACGTGGTCAGGATAGTGGACAGGGTTGTCGCTGTGGTGGTCGTCAGATTAGGCAACGCGAAGGTGGTGGTTGATGGCGTCGTCGTCGACGGGGTTGTCCAGGTGGTCGAGGTGGACGTTGGAGACGGCGAGGTGAACGCGTCCGCGATTGATCTGGCTGTCGTTGTCATCACGCGACCCAAAGCAGTGCCAACTGTCACAACCGTGCTGGTCGGCACGACGGTCGTCGACCTCGAAGAGGCCGTGAGAGGAGCCTCTCGTAATTGTGCCATGTCGCGCGGCTCGGTACCCAATATGGCCCCTGCGTTTCGCATCGAGTGCTGCTTGATGCTCTCTGCAAATGTCGGCACATCGATATATTGGCACGTCGACAGCGTAATCGCCAGAGTACTTGAACTTGGCGTACCATCGCTTCGGCGCGGTTCGAACGATGATACCGATTAATTCTAATATAGATCGCTTACCGAGAATCCCCGCCTCAACCTGGCCTAGTTTTTTGTGATACTGAGTGATCTCCTTGAGACTCTCCAGAACCAGCGTGCGTATCCATACGCAGAGATTCGTCGCGACCACGTGCATCAGACCGAAGCGAGCGATGACTTTAAAACGATGGATGTTCAACTGTGAAAAGAATATCGTAATTTGCATTTTTCTAGTTCTCCCTCCTTCGGTTTGTTGTTCGTTTCGTAATTTCAAATACGTACTCGAGAATTCATGAAAATAAAGTACATCTGCATAAAGGTGAAGATCATCTGCAGCACCGGATTGATGCCTTGTAATATCTGATAGCAGGGTGATGTAAATGGCACTTCGAAGAACGCGCCGAATTCCAAACCGTTGTATACCATAGTACCCAGTCCAAACGCTAACAAATTATGTTTAATCAGTTTTTATTGATATTATTTGCATCAATTAAGAACAATTTTTTAGTATTCCCGAAAAAATTGTGAACTTACCTATTGCACCAATTCTGAGGAAGAAGCTTCCATGGCTATGGTCATTTTGCGAAGTCTTTCGTTTCCGTAAAATTCGTGTAGCCACACCAGCTTCAACATCAGTCGCATCCTGCAAAAATGGTGCCTTTCACGATAATATAATCAAAATGTATATATTCTCGTAGAAATATTACTTTAGAAATTTGGAATTTAATTAATTTTACATTGGGAAATTGTTTATACATAAAATAAATATACTATTAATAGAGAATTGCAAGCATATATAATATATAATATCGTTAAAAAATTACTCAAATCTTTGTTGAAATTGCACGCAATAATAAAACGCAACTAGATTGTATTTTTGTTATAAGAAATTTAGGTAAAGACAGTCGAAATAAAAAGCAGCAATTAACGCATCAATTACGCGCACGTCGAGAATATCCGCGTAACATATTGTTAGATACTACGCGTTAACTAAAATACATTTCACGGGTAATGTGCCATTGTCGTAACCGTGAAACTTGCTCAAAATTAGAAACTTGTTGGAATCATAGTGTGAACCTTTCACATTACATAGGTCCCTATAAATAATTTTACTGTTTTATCCGTTAAATATACGATCATATCACGAGATGAAGGCTAGTGTAAAATAAAAAAAGACTTTACAAGGTTGTAAAATGTTATTAAAAATAAATAGATAAATAAGTGCACAAATCAAGTATTAAAGCATGCGCTCTTACTTCGAACAAAGAGATTAGGACTTTAAAAATTTCAAAAAATTAAAAATTCTTTATTTATTTTCCATTTGAAGTCATAAAAATGGAACTGATATAAATTAATAAGTTATAAGTAAATTATTAAAAATTACAAAGTTTACGTCTTAACGACTCTAAACGCGTTTTTCTCAAAATATTATTTTTAAAAATGGTTTATCCGATTAATTTGAAATTTTTAACTAACATTTTAATAATATTTCGCATCAATTCACGAAGGTTTTTTCCTACTTTTAATTTTTTTCTTTAAATTATAAAAAAAAACATTTTTCAAGAAAATGCAAATATTTAAATGTCTAGCTTTGCAAAAAATAAAATTTTTAAAAATTCCTTCTATGAACCAAAAATGATAAGTGTAAAGTTAAAAAATATCTACTATTTACTAAAGCTAAAATCTTGGGTATTATGCATGCGCGCATGGATGTAATAATGATTATTTAAGACACTACTATTGTTAATTATTTCAATATTTTTGTTGTAATATTAAATCTTAATTTTATTATTAAAAATGTTTTTTTTCCAGAAAAAAACACTATCTTTTTAAATCTTATATAATGTTGAGAAGTGCTCTATTTTCTGTTCGCTACACTCCTATAACCCCTTAACGAAATATCGATCATTAATTAAAATTGTTAATTAGGTATGTTTATATTAGATTAGAGATTCCTCGTTTCTCGTGAAAAGCTAATATTTTTAGAGAACCTGAGTTTCCTTTTTGGTCTGCTTCGGCTGCTTCTGGTCCTTTTCCTTCTTATCTTTCTTCTTGTTCTTGTCCTTAGGTTCCTTAGCGGTCCAACCAGATTTGGGCGGTCTCGGTGGCGGTGGTGGCGTATCGCCTCCCCTCGCACAGCAAGCGCTCTCTTGAAGGAGGAAGCAGAAGACGTACAACAGGAACAGGATACTCATGCCGTAAAGGTATGTGAAGAATCCCTCGTAATAGTACAGCGGCAGTTTGTGCGTCACCACTTCGCTTATCACGTAGGCGATGCACACGACTATGAGCAGCTTCGAGTAGATGAAGCTCATGATGATGAAGAGCGACGTTCTGAAATAAGAAGCAACGTGAGCGTTGTCTTTCACAACGTAATAGTATCGAAATATGACACCTGCCAGATGATAGTCAATCTATGTAGTAAGAATCAGTTACATCGACAGACAAAAGATTCATCGGATTATCTCGTATCGTATATGTCGTGTCCGAATAATGGCCTCACCCTTTTTTCTGAACAATTTGCACTCTGCTACCCCGTCGTGGCGTGTCCTTCTTGCCGTTATTATCAACGAAAGGTACAACTTCGACTTCCATGATGATTTTTTTTACTCAAAATTCGGCACTGCGAGATGACTTTAAAAGTTTAAAATTTTATTTTCCGTTTTAAATAAACGCTTATACGTGTTCCTGCGCGTTCCACGCGCAGAATCTTTTAGTGTTACACAATCACTTTTAGATAAATTTCATTATTATTTAAATGTCACTGCTTTTAACTAATTAATTGCTATTAATTTAATTTGGTATTAGCTATTTATTATTGCTAATTGATTTATGTCACTTGCATCGTGCCCTACTTCGAATATAACAAACGTCGACTGTTGCGCTCGTTGTGATCGTGCAAGTCGATTCGCACGAACGTGCTATTTCTGCTTTCGCCTTTCAACCATAATGGCATTCGGGCTCATCGAATTTTCATTGTTTTCACCAAATATAACTACCGTGCCCTCGATATTCTATTTAACCTGCATAACACTGCGTATTATAAGATTTTTTATTGATAACCAAAAGTGGATAATAACAAAATTGTCTGTCAAACGATCAAACAGCCGAGCAATCAAATTATGACATTTATTTACTCTGCTGGCAATCAAAAATTTTAAAATTATGCATCGCAATCTGTCACTGATAAAAAAAAAAACACTGACACACCAGCCCACACTTAGCAATGCACCGTTTACCGTTCATCAACCGGAAGTAATATAATTAATAAATCGACATTTGTGGATCACACATGATCTGAACACTCGACGGTATTTTACAAATTAGTATAACGGTTTCGTTAATTTCGATCGCGCATCGCGTGATCTTGGTACGAGTGGCACGATTACGCGGAACGCGGAACGCGGCGAAGCGGTCGATCTTCAATAACAGTTGACCTGGTGCATTCGCTTTTAATCGACGAGCATGACTGACGCTCGAACATCTCGGACGTACTTATCCGCGCTCCTCATCCTCGTTACGCTCTTTTTCTCACTCAAAGGTTAGGCGGCGCAATCGATAGTCTATATATAATGCCGGTCGCAAACTCGGCGCGATCTCACCGGGAATCAATCGCGCGGGAAATGAGGCTTTTCCACGGGAAAACGGGGCCGCGCAGCGCGCACGCAGGAGGGGCCGCGCCGCGCCGCGCCGCGCCACTCTGCTCCGCTTCGCTCCGCTCAACGACGCCCGCGACGCCGCGCGACGACACGTATGTATGCGATGCGTCTACTACGTTGAGAGAAGGGCTTAACCGCCCTTTGTCACGGTGGCATTTCATGGGTTGGGGTGCAGACTTTATTGTGTCCCACACGAGCTTGTACACTCGCGTCAGGGATTTTTTTTTTCTCCCCGGATGCACGTGTTAGAGTAGAGGCGGTGATATTTTCCGTCTTACGAGAGCGTGAATCGCAGTTTTTATTTAAAGCAGGTTACCTATCGCTTTTACCTATCATAATTTATTACATAAAAGGTAACACGGAATCACGGAGGGGAGGACATTCATCTGACCACCAGCTTCCTCGACCGGTTTACAGATGATTTTATCCAATAAAAATATGACCGTTTGCTTTATCTTTTCCATTTTTTAATCGCGTTTTTGTGTAATTGGACTCTAAATCAAAGTTTTCTTAGCGATTCTACTATACAGAAAAATCAATTATTAAAGTTGGTCGAAGAATCAATAGAGAAATATGCATCTGGCGATTTTAGTGTATCTTGTATACGTAATTTATTTGTTACGTCGGCGTTTTGCGCACGCATCTGTTTTATAGAAGTAAGCGTGTTAATTACAGTGCGTAAATTCAGTTTCGCGATATTAATTAGCTGGAGGAGTCGTATAACTAACCCGCTCCTAATTGGATTGATCAGGCAGACTTCGCGGCTATTGTTCGTCACAATTAGGCTGGTAGGCAGGATACCTCAATTACAATGGATGAGTTTCTCGTCTTGGATATTGCTCAATATCTCATTCTATTTGCTTCATTGCTAACCACCATTATCAAGTCATCGAATCATGAAATACGCTATCTCCATAAATTCGGAAAAGTTTTACGTTTAGGATAATCAGATCGTTTTAATATCGAAAGCAATACGAGAAAGATTACTTCGATTCTTTGATCTTGGGGACGATTGGGGACACAAGTTAGCAAACTAACTCTGCTCTCTCTAAAGCTAAGAATGGCAGAGCAAGAGATCGAAGAAAAGTGTCTCTCGTAATCTTTTTTGCTGTACGTGAAAGAGGCGGTGTTGCAATCAAGCCTTTTTCCAGTTGCGAACAAGGAGCGAACGAGAAAATGGAAACAGCGCGCGGACGTGGAACGGTCCAGACTGGCTGGTCGATATCTCGAAGTACCTACTTTCGGCGTCGGTGCTCCTCCCTGTTTCCTCGCCCTCTTATGGGCTTAACCTCGCCTCAATCCCTTTCAAGGCTCTATCCTTTCTCAAATCCTTTCAAGCGTTTCGCGGCACACCATCCGGAGAATCAAACCATTCGCGTATTCGAATTGGGCGTATTAGAAATCGCGCACTCGTTTAAGTCAAGTCAATCATTACACCGCATATCGTGTGTGTAATGTTATAAAATTACGGGTTGAGAGTTACACAAAGCGTTAGAAAAATTGTACCGGAGAACCGGTATTTACATCTCCAATCGATAAATTCTTATCTCTGTCCCACAAAAGGCTGCATCTCGTCAGACTCTCTATTTCCGGCCTATTTACTTTGCCTGTAACAACGAGAGAAGCCGTCTGTAGCCGTAATTTTATGATTGGCGGTAATCGGGTTTGCATCGATTCTCTTTGATTACGAGGGGGCCCTTTGACCGATTGACTTATTTCCGCACTGAGACATCAATAGAACTTTTAGCGGTTATAAATCGTCAAATAAATTTCTCAGCTTTCGCGAATCAATCATATTTTAAATTCTATTTACACCCGTATGCACAAACCGTTCAATAACACTCTCACATTATCGCGAATTTCGTAAAATTACTGTTGTGTGGCATGACACAATTTCGCAAAACTATTACAAATCACTTGATATATAAGTCGCGCGCTTGTATTTCACAACACACGAATGGAAATTTCAATTTCCGTGTTAATTAAATTTAGGATGAATTGCAGCCCGCGAGAGATTTGTGGCGGCACTGTTTTGCGGCGAGCGCAACGCATTGACTGCCGGTGGCATCGGCTTGAGGACGCGTTAATGCAATTGCGACTGCGGCTGTGTAATCCGAGATCCACCTATTGCTTCGTCGCGAAATGCATATGGCTACCACTTGTCGTCAAATCAATATTAGTCAATTGAAAAGTAGCGCGCGAACTGTCCGATTTATCGGCGACTCTATATAGTTTTTGTGTCAACATGGACAACATGCCTGTGAACACCTTTAACATACCAGTCCATACGCATACACACAGACGCAGCATAGACACATACTTTCCTTTTTTAGTAGTCGTTTGTAGAAATTTAAAGCGATATACGAGAAAACGCAGTGCAAGAAAATAAAAAGTGTAGTGTTGTTTTAGATAAAATGCAATTTAAGTAATTGCAATTCTGTAATTTATAGAAATTATTTCGTAAAAGTAGAAATTTGATTTTTTTCTGTTTTTTTTTTTAAACTGCATATTTTAATCAAAACTTCTCGGAAATAATTAATGATTAATTATCATTCGTTGCGTAAATGTACATATCTATTATGCACGCCGTACACATATGTGATACGAGCGACACATATCCAGCCGCATAGGGTTAACGAACTATGTCGTAAATAGAAGTGCAAACCAAACTAGACTATCTCGTTTCCATTTCGGGCCCTCTGTTGCTATCTCTGTTTCTCGCAGGCCGGATATTCCTTGACTAGTACGAAGGTAACATGACCAACGCTTTCTATCGTTCTGTGGCGATAATGTTTCTTAATTAAAATTCTGTATTCTAATAAGACGATTAATCCCCAAATAAATTTAATACAAATTACCTGAAGGTCCGAAAACTAGAATTAACGGAAATTTTGTATAATGCAATTGCCTTGAAAGATTATTTCAAATTGCATTAAGTCGTATGTTGTAACATGTAAAATTGTATTGCGTGTATTTAATACCATATCATTCTGCATAGATGATCAATCGTAGCATATTTTTATGGTATTCGTACCTTTCATTTCACCTGTCTATTCTTATTTTATTCGCGTAGCATTGCGTTCGTTTTGTGGTTATTCGACAGCCCGCTGTCTTTCACTCTTCGGAGACCGATGTTTTCGAGTATAGACGGGTATATCGATGCATCTCTATTCGTGAAGTTATGAAGCATTTGCGCTGTCATACGCAACACGAGTAGCCGGAAATTAATATTTCGCGAAATAGCTTGTTCTCGAGAGAATTATAGAAATTATATTAATGCGTTTATTAGAAACAATAGGAAAAGTTTCTTTGCAAACATTACTAGTAATAATATATCTGTGCAACGACAAAAAAGTTACATATGTTTATTAATCAGTAATTATATAGTCCTACGGTACAAGTGTTGACATGCCATTGTAAGGCACGAAACAAAATTCGAATTTACGTTACTTTTGAATAAATAGACCTTTATTATGCTTCGGTTGATTAAAATCAGTGTTGCGCCGTACCGTAAGTCACGCCAGGCTGCAAGTTTATAAATTCACAAGCACGTAATAAACATGCCGTTAAATAATTATGCTCCATTAACATCTGTCCCGCAACCGAACTAAATGACTTTTATACTTGACCTAGATTTTCATTCTTGTATGGAAAAGCATCCGGAGTTCTAATGCCTCAGCGAAATTGTTAGGGTCAAAATTAGCGAGCTGTAATGGATGAAAAGAATAGCTGCACGTCCCATTCTTTCTCAGACAATTTTACTCAAAAAGGAGGAATGTTACGTTACTTAATATATCAGTACGTGTAGATTTTTTTGCGGTAGAAACGCTTCGCAATAATATCCTCTTCTTCGCGTAAGATTGTCCCGAAGAAAGCGGGTTGTGCAAAAAAAAATTTGTTTTATCTATACATATTAGCGCTACGTTCGCGACATCGAAACAGATGAGACAATTCTTAAATAAAAATCTTTTTATTCGTTCGTTTTCTACAGCGTGCGCCTTACTTTTTCGCCGGGGTAGATCGCACGTTCTTCAGCTCCATTTCTTTGTTCGCGGCGTTGTTCTTCTCGGCGTTGTCCTGTGCGTTCGGCGGCGAGTTTTGCGGATTGAGGGGCCTGGTGACCGGAAGTGTCGCCGTGTTGTCGCCCCCGGCGGCCGCCTCTACCTCTACGGTAGCGACCTTACAGTCGCCACCGCCCACCATCGTGGATTTCGTCTTGTCTCACGAGCTCCTGACGATCGTCAAAAGATACTCAAACGATCTCGTAACAAATCGATCTAGTACCCCCGCGAGCTCAAGTGCCCCCTACGTGGTGGTCGTGTTTCGGAAGCGCTGGTACCTGGTGCGGCCATTTTGGTGCACGCCTCGGTATTAATCGAGTTCAATCAAACGGTCGTATTAACTAATTGACTATCGCAAATTATCTTGACGATATTAAATAATTCAGGTCGACTAAATCTCGTAACCGCTTATTCCTCTCTTCTGCCGGAAGCGCCTGCGCTTTGGTTCTTCGTATCGGTTAATGCTCTTTCTGCTGAAGTGCAGAAATGGAGCACACCCTTTCTCGTGATAGAAGTACTGCGTAATATGATCGGTAATATATTACGTGTCATATATGTGTACGTAAAATATAACACAAGATATAGTATATATTTTATGTTACATATATGTATATAATATATTTGATTTGTATATTCTATAATCATCTACGACAATAAATCTTTGAGTAATATCGTTCGATTCTCTTCACTGCGCGAAAGCGGGAAAGAGGACTCTGTATAGCGCTCCAGTTTGCGAATCGTCGGCAGAATCGAACTGCAGAGGAACAGGAAGCTGAGGCTACAAATGAATCGAGAAGAATACGCAAGCGGTACCAAGAGGTAGATGAATGGCGGAGAAGGAGAGGGAGAGAGAGACAGCGAGAGAGAGAGTAAAAACAAGAGAAAGAGAGAAAGAGCGAAAGAGA